TCCTCTAAAGGAAAATCACGTCGCGAAGAGAAACGTGGATCAGCAGCTAAGAATTAGGATTGTGTACGACAGAAGTGTTGAAGAGTGAGTATAATGTTGTAGCAGCTTTGATTTTATTGTTGGCTGAGAATGGGAAACTAACTAAAGCTTGTTTGTTTTTGAAATACAGCTTGCTGCCTGAGAAAAGACACCTTATAAAGGTATGTTATATTTGCTTCCACTTTTTGTTTTTACATATTCAGTTGGGGGAATCAACCTTCAGTCCCAGACTGATGACAAAGGATGTAAAGCTATTAGGAAGTTCCAAAGGAGGTCTATGATGATGGTGAAGGGTCTGGAGGGGAAGCTGTACAAGGAGCAGCTGAGGTCACTTGGTGTGTTCAACCTGGAGAAGAGGAGACTGAGGGGAGACCTCAGAGCAGCTAACCACTTCCTCACGAGGTTCAGTGCAGGGGCAGCAGTGATCTCTGCTCTCTGTGACCAGTCACAGGACCTGAGGGAATGTCCTGAAGCTGTGTCAGGGAAGGTTCAAGTTGGATATTAGGAAAGGTTCGGAACAGCTTCACCAAGCCTGACAGAGCTCAAGGAGAGTTTGGACAATCTCAGGCACGTGATGTGATTCTTGGACATGTTCTGTGCAGGGTCAGGAGTTGGACTTTGATAATCCTTGTGGTCCCTTCCAGCTCCTGATGTTCTGTGATTACATGGATGAAGTTAAGGCCAATTTAAATCAAAGCTTTAAACAGCAGCAATTTGATATCCTCTAATCCAGAAAAACCACGGCTTTGTGTGAAGATTATGCTCAGGCACGTGATGTGATTCTTGGACATGTTCTGTGCAGGGTCAGGAGTTGGACTTTGATAATCCTTGTGGTCCCTTCCAGCTCCTGATGTTCTGTGATTACATGGATGAAGTTAAGGCCAATTTAAATCAAAGCTTTAAACAGCAGCAATTTGATATCCTCTAATCCAGAAAAACCACGGCTTTGTGTGAAGATTATGCCTCCATTCCAGAGAATTCCAGTGTTCTGCTGAATGATGTTTGCTATATCTCAAGGTGTAAGGGTGTCAGTGAGAAAAATGTATGGTTTTTAACAGCCTCTTTGAAGCTGTACATTCAAATTAACAGTCTCCCTTCCCATGTTGTTATTCCAATAACAAAATATTTCCTGAATATATTGATAATAACTGGGCTTCTTAGAGCGTTTAGGTTTTCCCTATTCCGCTATGCCACAGCATCTAGCAAGTTTCATGTAAGTTGGTGGTTAATGCCCTTATGGTGAGTTATTTGAGAGCAGCAGTGAGGAGAAAGGCTTGGGGGTGATGGTGTCTCCCTTCCCATGTTGTTATTCCAATAACAAAATATTTCCTGAATATATTGATAATAACTGGGCTTCTTAGAGCGTTTAGGTTTTCCCTATTCCGCTATGCCACAGCATCTAGCAAGTTTCATGTAAGTTGGTGGTTAATGCCCTTATGGTGAGTTATTTGAGAGCAGCAGTGAGGAGAAAGGCTTGGGGGTGATGGTGGATGAGATGAGAACCATGAGCTGCAGTGTGAGCTCACAGCCCAGCAAGCCAATGGAATCGTGGGCTGCATCAAAAGGAGTGTGGCAGCAGGGCAAGGGGGGGGCTGGTATCTGAAGGGGATACAGGGAAGCTGCAGAGGGACTCTTTGTTAGGAACTGCAGTGACAGGACAAGGGGCAATAGGTACAAATTGAAAGAGAAGGAATTTAGGCTAGATATTATGAAAAAGCTTTTCCCTGTGAGGGTGGTGAGACACTGGCACAGGTTGCCCAGGGGGGTAGTAAGAGCCCCAACCCTGGCAGTGTTCAAAGCCAGGTTGGATGAAGCCTTGAGCAACCTGCTCTGGTGGGGAGGTGTCCCCACCCATGGCAGGGGCTTGGGACTAAATGAGCTATAAGGTTCATTCCAACCCCTAAAATTCTATGATTATGTCTGCCATGTCCCTGGGTGACTTTGCTCTTTTCTTCTGTTCAGAATAAGCTCTTCCCACAAGCTATATCCTATTTGGAGAAGACGTTTCAAGTGCGCAAACCCACAGGTACTATATTACTGAGCAGGTATGTCAAAGTTTGTTGAAAATCACTCACTGTATTTGACATTTAATATTGTGTTGTATAGCCTTTAAACTAAGACCAGAATCAGAGTGTAAGAAACTCACTCCTGATTCAGGCCAGTGACCCGTCTGACCTAGTGAGGGTAGCAGATGCGCTTTAGGGAGTGTGCACAAGTCTGCCAGCCTTTGTGATCCACACCTGCACTTGTTGTATCAGAGATGTTGAAGGCTATACATGCTGCAGGTTCCTTTTTATATGTACCCATGTTTATGCACTTGTTCCTAATCTCGCTTTGAACCTGTGGATGATCCATGAACAACTGGAACCAGAGCAGGGTAACCAACAATTATCACTGTGGAGGTTATATTAAATACCTGCATTATGGTGTTGTTGGATGCTCTAAGACTATTCTATAGTTCTGTTTTAATAATAAAGCAGTGCTGACTGTCTTTTATGTTTCATTGAAGGCAATGTGTGACAAACCAATACCTGAGGAGGAAAGCTGACCCTCACAGGTACTGCCAAAAAGCCTGTGCAGACCATACAAGATGTGGACCAGTTATAGTTCCTGAGAAACACCTCCAGGTAAGCTAAGCTATCCAAGTGCTTCCTAATCTTTGAAATACTATTATTTGTGTAAATTAATGAAAAATGAATATTGCCAGCTCTGCATAAGTGACTTATTTGCAGGAGATCACCAAGGCTGAGTGACGGAATAGAACAATTTGAGCCTGTGGGAGTTTATTTAGTTTGTGTTGTTGAACAAAAAGTCAAGTAAAACGACTGGTAACTGTTCTCTGAGCCTGTGTTATAATGACCTGCACAGAGAGGATGAGATTCAACGGCATTTTGTTATTCACTTTGGTCAGTAGTTGGATTTGTACAGAATAATAAGTGTTGATTTTTTTGAAGTCCTTAGAAGAGGTTATCCACTGACCCAGGTGCATGGTGCAGGAAATGCTTCTGACTTGTTTCCTTGCATATATTTTTGATTTAACTACAGTATGTGATCAGTAGATTTTTCTCTTTCTTTCTTTTAACTTGAAGTTTCAACTGCACTATTAAAAACATACCAGATTACCAGCAAGGGGCAGCTTGGCAAGCTTTTTTTGGCTGTTTTTTTTTTTAAAAAAAGCTGCAACCTTCCTGGTGTCCAATAAACCAAAATAACTCATCATTTGAAAGTTATTCCTTGGCTCTGGTTTTGTTTACTGTCTTCATAGGGTGTTTTCTTATCTTACAATGGGATTTATTCTTGGCTTCAAGCTCATTGAACTTTGTCATGCAAAATTTTGGTCATAGCTAAAGTATTTTAATTGTTCCCTCTGCCCCTTGTGAAGCAATGCAGGGTGTACAACGAGAGTGACTGGCACCGCAGACCCACTGGCTTCCCTGACCAAGAAGGGGTCAGAGATGCTGATTTTCTGCTTTATGTCAGTGCCCTCACTACTGAAAGGTGTGGCCATGAAAATATCATTGCATATGCAGCCTACTGCCAACTGGAAGCCGAAATGGACAGGCAAGTATTCCCTCTGTTTCAAACTCGTTGTTTAATTAAACTCTCCAGTTTTTTAATTGCTCACATGTGGGGTTTGTTTGCCTGTGTTGTATAACCTGGGAGGAGCCATCACTGAAATGGACAAGCACTGTATTTATGTAAAACCACAGAACCATCAAGTAGTGCTTAACTTGCAAAGTTGGGTCACATGAGTCAAAACTAATCCTCCACTGTTAATGCCTAAGCTTTATCTCAAGATCCTGTTTCTGTTGAAGTGCCTGCCATGCCTTCACAAGCTTAAGGGGGAATGCAAGTGCCCCTACTTATGTGGCTCTTGTTTCTGGTTGTAGTCATTGTCACAGACACGTTGTACCTCTGTAGGGTTTTACCTAAACTTCAGATCTGTTACACTGTTGTCACTGAGACCTGTGCAGAATGATGAATGTAGAGATTGATCTCGTTCCACCCCTCCTCATCCCAGCAGTAAACTAATCACTGTACAGTGAACAGATACAACATTTATAAACGATTGGGGAAGTTATTTGGAAGAACTTGTTTTCACATTAATCTCTGTTTTCTTTACCTCCTCTGCCACTTCAAGTGACTATGATTTGAATTTGCTAGTATTTCACTGAAAGTCATTTAATTTTGAAACTGTCTTCCAGGCCAATAGCAGGATATGCTAACTTGTGTCCAAATATGATTTCAACGCAAGCTCAGGAATTCGTTGGCATGTTGTCCACAGTGAAACACGAGATCATCCATGCACTGGTAAGGGTTGATGTGATAAAATGTGTTGCCCTGAAATTGGTGCCTGCTTCCTCACATGCCTCCAGCTTATTGCAGGAGAAGGATATTTGGTGGAGGAAAGCTCTTGCTTTGCCTCCTTCAATGTCTCTGTTGATTGCCTTGGAGTGCTGTGCTTCCAATATATTTGCAGTGGATGTGGGAACTCTTTCATGGCATTTGAATTTGGATGTGAATGTCTTACCAAAGGTGACCATGTGCTTGGTTTTTAACTTGAAGGGTTTCTCTGCTGGACTGTTTGCATTTTATCGTGATGATGATGGAAAACCTTTGACACCAAGATATGCAGATGGACTCCCTCCTTTTAATGAAAGGTATTACATGTTTCTTGGAGCTCTTGGTGCTTCCCATTGAAGGATGTTTTCATGTTCCATTTTTAGAGTATGTTCCTGCCTGTTGAAAATCCAACTTCATTCCATTATTGGAGTGCTTTGCCATCATTATGTTCAAACCCTGGTGTGTGGTGGTTTATTAGTCTTTCTTTACATTGCCATTAAACGTTTGTATTATCCACATATATGACAAACTAAGGCAGGATTTCATGTATCAGGAGGCTTGAGGTTAAGCATTGCAGTTACCTATGCTTAAATTTTTGTGTAGCTGAACACCTCACTAAACTAAGGCTTGTACTTTCTGTACTGTCTAACATGAGTACAGTTCGTTTTTGAGACATACATCATTTGTGGTTTATAGTTATGCAGAACTGTGTGTAATCTGCTGTGTGAATTTTCTGACTTGATACAGAATGAGCAGTTTGCTTTTCTTTCCTTCATTTAGTTGATGATGTAGAAATGTTCTTCTAGGTGAAAGGGTAGAGAACTTCTGGCTTTGTTCAGCTTTGTATAATAGCAGTGCTGAGGATTTTTATTTCATTTCTTACACTCTGGGTAACTGTAGAAAACATGTCTTAAGTCTATAGACATGTTTATAATTATTTTACTTTGCCTTGTAAGACCAGAGTTGTGTGTATAATGAACACAACATCTTAGAAAGGAAAAATGTTGCATAATAAAATTTTTAATTTGGAAAGCATGAGGGAGTACTGGGATTGTCTGTGATCCCGTTTCTTACGGAGATACATCTTGGCACAGTAGCTTGTCCTTGTGGGAAAGGTTTGTGACCAAAACATTGTCCTTGCAGTCTAGGTTTGTATCAGTGGAGCAGCAAAGTCGTTCATAAGGCAGTGAGGCTGTGGGACGTACGTGGAGGCAAAATGCTGCGTCATTCTGTTCATCTCCTGGTAACACCTCGTGTGGTCGTAAGTGTGGATTCACCTTTAAACTCTTTATGCCAAGATTGCCATCAGTTTCTTGAGTAATAAATATTTCTTATTCTGTAGGAAGCAATAACCTAATGTTGAAAACCCTTTTCCTGAAAGTGTGGCCCAAAGCCTACACCATTAAGACTGTGTAATTAGCTGTGAAGGTGTATCCAAAGTGGAAAATAAATTGGCAGAGTAAGAGACAATGAAAGGACTGGGAAGGAAATTATGAGAGGTGAAGCAAAACTGATGTTTAAGAGATTCCTTAATCCTACTCTGTAGATGTTCAACCCTGGCAGTGTTCAAAGCCAGGCTGGACAAAGCCTGGAGCAGCCTGGTCTGGTGGGAAGGTGTCCCTGCTCAGGGCAGAGGGTTGAGACTAGATGGTCCATAAGGTCCATTCCAACCCCTAAAATTCTATGATTCTTACAGACTTAGACACCTAGTATTCCTGTTCCTTTGACAGCATTATCACTGCTTTTCTTATTTGTAAGATCATCCTATTTTCTACTTTAAAAGCATTGGTTTAATATTTTTCTAATTTTATTGATTACAAAATAATGCAGTTAACATTTTGTCATGTTTAAAAAGAAATTCCTTGAGTTTTCTTGGAAATCTTTCTTGCTTCCCACACTTCTGACTCTCCCTCCATGCCCACAACAGAACATATGCTCAAATGTAATAAATTGATGTTGGAACTAAGTTAGAGTGTTAATCATATTTGGCCACATGTTTTTGTTTGTTTTAAGTCGAACACAGTATATAGAGAAAACTTGGATTAATTACCCCTGGGTTTGCTCATTTATTTCCAGGAGATGAGTAGACAGAGTGCTAGGTTTGCTGTTGGGGTCCTTGCTGGCTTAGTCAGCCTCTGAGGAGAAGTGTTTCACATTGAGAAGAAAACAAAATGGTAGAAAAAGAAATGCTGAAATCCTTTTAGAAGCTCATTCTAGAACAGTAGGATTGTGTGTGGGTATCCATCTAAGTATTTTGAGAGTTGTGCTGCAATGTTTTCTTTCTAGGAAGAAGCTCGAAAGCATTTTAATTGTCCAATTCTGGAGGGAATGGAGCTTGAAAATCAAGGTGGCATGGGTACTGAGCTCAACCACTGGGAGAAGAGATTGCTGGAGGTGTGTGTTGACACTAGGAATGTAAGAGGATGTGGGAATGTTTGCTCCCTCCCCCATGATTTTTAGGTTTGTTGTGGTTCCTACTGGAGCCTTGAAAATGTAGAGGTATCAAACCTCACTGATATACATCACAAGTAGTACTAACTACTAATACATAAATGTCCAATTTCTAGATACATCTGTCTTTCAACCTTATTCCTAAATCTCAGAGTATGAGTTTGAGATAAGCTGATTATTGAAAAACCTAAATGTCTTACTTCTAACTACCATTTACCCTTTCAAGAAGGTTTTCTCCCTTGTTCCTTTGAGTCAATTCAGCTTTGTAGCCCTCTGCCTCTTATATATCAGATACTTGATCATTCTATTCCTTACCTTGACTTCAGCTTCATCCATGTGCCCTGGCATTAGCTGTTGCTGTCTCTGCTCCAGAACCTCATCTGACCAAGGAAACACTTATTTCCCCGCTGACATTTAAGCTAATTTTTATTTATAACTTTGTGCCACATGATATTTTGGTCAGGAGAATGCTTTCTAGTTGTTGTTGTATGTAGTGAGGTAGACAAGAAGGAAAATGCTTCAGGACAGACCTTTTATGAAGGAGGATGGGATTTGATTGTCAGTAGTAAGAAGAGACCAGAAATAAAAGGCTTTTTCATAGGAAGCATTTTCTTGCAATGCTGATTTTTCACTGGCTTACTAACAGTAACTGGTAACTTTCAGAATGAAGCAATGACTGGATCCCATACACAGAATCGAGTCTTCTCCAGGATCACCTTGGCATTAATGGAAGACACAGGGTAAGAATTAATAAGAATGGGGAGTGCGTTCTGTTTCATTTGTGTTTAGTTTTCATGGTAATTGATTTTACTTGGAGTTGATGCACTTGTGCTTATCCATCTGCAACACAGTAGATAATCAGCATAATTAGCATTGCATTAGACAAGGAGTTATACCTAGTATGTTATTTTTTCTTCATGTATTCCAAAACCATCCATTCTTAATCTAGCCTAAAAAAACAGGCATTGCAATGCACAGTATTGTTTGTAGTGTCTGTTTACTTTTTTCTTAATGTGAGTCTTCTCTCAGTTGCATGCAGTACATACTGTTTATTTTTTCAACTCTTCTTGCAGCTAGAAAGCATAAATTGCCTAAAATTTCATCTTCCTATATGCATTGTTCCTTGGCAGATCATGATGCACTGCTGTTGAACAAATAAGCCATAAAATTTTTTTCTAGTTCATCGTGACATGGAAAATAGTAAAATTTTAATACCTTTTGTTATGGGCAGAAAGAGATGCAGTTTCCCTTTTTCATTTGAAGACCTTAAGGCATGGTATGAAGTTCTTCAAACTGTTGTTTTATTAATTTTTGAATTAATTATATTCTCCTTTCTAAAAACCTTTGCAGGTGGTATAAAGCAAATTACAGCATGGCAGAGAAGTTAGACTGGGGGCGCAATAAAGGCTGTGACTTTGTAATGAAGAGTTGCAAGTTCTGGATCGACCAAAAGAGGCAGAAGTAAGGATATAATCTTTTAAAAAATAATTAAGAGGAAACCCTGATGCTTGTTTACAGTTGTCTTTCAAATGTAACCGGGTAAAAAGTAGAGGTAGGTACAGATGAACAAGGAATACTGCCCTGGGTATGCACCTGAGAAGGAGCTCACCAAATGTGTTAAGGGCAGAAGCCTCTTACCAATACAGTAAACACAGAGCCAAACATCTTAGGATGTAAATGCATTTACACTACGAGAAGTCTGAGCTTTAGAGAGGAGGGGAAGAACTTAATTTAAAAGTGTTTGCTTCCTTATTTTGTCCCTTTTAATTGGAAATACAGCCTATTGTCCTTTGCCATTACTGGGCTGTACTTACAGCAACAGAAGGAGATGATAGGCATCTTGGAAACAAAGCCTGCCTTGTTTGTGTTTACAGTACTCATACATTTCTAGGACACAGCTGCACAGTGGGTCTATTTTACTTGTAGGTTTTTTTCTTTCAAGTTTAAAAAGCAGTATCATTAAAACTAACTAGGTGAGTGCATTTTAAGTTTGTTTGCTGGCTTGATATTCTTGAAGTTAGAAAGGTCATGACCAGTCAAATAAAAATAATTAGCCTCCAGAGAAGAAGTCAGTGCTTATTTGTGTAATGGCCTGAATGTAGGGGAGAGTGGGAACAAACAGGCTTGACAGATTGCTTATGTAAAGCAGTTTAATCGATCTGATGGGATTTTTATTCTTTTTCTTTTCTTTTGAGGAGGCAGTTAATCAGTCCATACTGCGACACTTTGAGGAGTAATCCTTTGCAGTTAACCTGCAGACAGGACCAAAGAGCAGTAGCAGTGTGCAACTTGCAGAAGTTTCCAAAGCAATTACCTCAGGAATATCAGGTATAATGGATCTTACTTTAGCAAATAACTGAAGTATTTTCATTGTGTGCTTTGCTGCCAGATAATATTTTTTTTCTTCTGAACCAGAAGACAAGAGCAGATACTGTGAAAAATATCTGCCTAGTTTATTACGAGGAGTCAGTAGGCTGAAAAAAAATCCTTGTGATCCTAAGAAAAGAATAAGATGTTGCTTGGCCGTCTAACCAAATAGCAAATGGAAACATCGGTGTAAAATCCCTCAGAATGTTTTGTTTGAGTCTTCTGCCCTTTGTCACTGTAGAAGTGCCCTGTTTGCATCCCAAAGCATGCAGTGATTACAAAGGGTGGAGTCAGGGTCAGGAGTTGGAGAGTGATCCATGCAAATGTGAATCTCTGCATTATTTAAGTGTCTTAAAACCTCTCGCTCATCTGGTTCTTGGGATTTGTAAGTTGCTGTTAATAGCATTGCTGAGTAGTAATAGCTGATGTTCTTACAGCTGCAGCGATTGGATCTATTTGAAGAACAGTTGTACACTTGTCTTTGCACAAACTGTTTCACTACTGTATTTTGTTTTGCAGTACTTTGACAATCTTAATGGAGTACCAGCAGAAGAATTGCCTTATTATGGTGGCTCAGTAGAAATTGCTGACTATTGTCCCTTTAGTCAAGAATTCAGCTGGCATTTAAGTGGTGAATTTCAACGCAGTTCAGACTGTAGAATAATTGAAAACCAGCCAGGTCAGTTTTTTGGACTTCAGTAAGCTGTTTCAGAGACTGAGTTTGTTAATTTGGAATAGACTTGCTGTGTATTCAAATGAATTGGATGTGAATTTTTTCACTAGTGCAGTTTTACACTACCAGCTGTGTGAACACTGTGCTTGGGTGAGAAGCATAGCACAACTACCTTGTACACCTAGGAGGCAAACTCTCACATCCAATGCAAGAATTGCATAAGAGCAGAACAGATATTAATGGTCCAAATATAAGACAAAGGGTGGGGGTGGGTAAGTTGGTTGGTTTTTGAGTTTTTGAAACAATTGCACTTTCCACCTTTGTAGGTTTTTTGTTCAAAGCAAGGAGCTTTGTGAATTACTAGAACTTGTGCTTGTCTCTTCCGTTAGTGCATGTTTGGTACTGCAGAGCTCCAGAATGCTGTAGGATATTACCTGTCTCCAGCTGTCTCTAAACCAAACAAACAGTCACAGCTGGCACTCCCTGGGGACAAACATAACCACAAGTCCTGATGGGAAATGCTTGCTGGTTGTTTGGTTTTTTGTGGTTGGTTTGTTTGTTTTTTAAATCTTGTGTTTCTTTCCACTTGATGGTATAATTCCCAAATTCCTAATTGTTAAGGGTCTGAAATATTCCAGAAGTAAACCTTGAATTGCATTGACTGTCTACAGCCTTTTAAGTTGATGTGGACTTTCTGTTCCTCTAGTAAGTTGCAATCCACTCTATTCCTTCTACCGTAGATCCTACCAAAAACTATGGTGCAGAGAAATATGGACCAAACTCTGTATGTCTCATTCAGAAATCTGCTTTTGTTATGGAACAGTGCAGGAGGAAACTCAGTTACCCTGACTGGGGCAGTGGATGTTATCAAGTAAGTATGTGTTGGGGATTTATCTTCTTTTCTTTCAATAGCTCTGAAGAGAAAAGTCAGGCATAAAATGTAGGCTAGGACTGTTAGAACTTTGCACCTGCACACTGAGCATGATCTCTCTGTCTTAAATCTGTAGATCATATGACTTGCATTGAAAACAATTATCTTCCAGCCATAGGCCTGTAATTTAGTTAAGTTAAGTGTGTGACCACTGGGATGACTTGTGTGTAACTTCCAGTCTTGCTAGGGACATCATCTGTCTTACCCCTGTGACACTTTCTCCTCAGCTAAGAGAGCAATACTTATCTGGAATTTTCTGTTGAGGAAACTTAATGTTAATTAGTCACTCTGATTTTTCAGAGGTGGAAAGCACTGTGCACATGTCACTTACTTTTCATTGTCCTCATTCTCTTCAGGACTATCTCACTAAAGGTGTCACATTCAACAATAGCACAAGTCTAAAAAGGTAGTCGTTAGCAGAAGCCAAATTTTTGCTCATTCTCAGTTGATAATCTGCGTGACTACACAAAAAGAGTACAGTCAGGACTTTAAAGCACTCCTGAACCAAAGAATTGCTCTCAGTGCATTAAAATACTTGCAGTTAATCAATGCTCTGATATCAGGTGTTTACTGAATGTTCTATTTCCTTACTGAAAGAGCTTCCAAACCCTCATTATGACAAATCGTAATTACAGACTTGACTCTTACTCTTTTATTTTAAGGTTTCTTGTTCTCCACAAGGATTGCACGTTTGGGTCAAGGACACTGCCTACTTGTGCAGCCGCTCAGGTCAGGTGTTAACTGTGAGCATTCAGATGAATGGCTGGATCCATGTTGGGAATCTGATTTGCCCATCCTGTTCCGACTTCTGTGACTCCTGTCCCCCAGAGAGGGATCCTCCAGCTGCTAACTTCACGAGAGCTGCACCCATTGGTATGTAGCCTTATTTGCTGAAGTAAAACTTTAATGTCAAATACTTGAAAACTTCACAGATTTGTGTCAGCTCTGAGTGCTGGGAAAAGGAAAGGAAAGCCATGGCTGTTCTAAGATCCCAGATGCAGGAGTTAAAGGAGGATAGCAAAGGTACTTAATTTTAGTCATGAAGGATAGTGGCTAACACAGGAGAAATGTGTCTGAAACAACTCCTTCATGTCATGTCACCTTCTGGTAATCATCCCACATTTCTACCTTTAGCCTAGGAACTTACCAGGAAGTCTGATCTGTGTTTTGTAGGCTGAATCATAATTATAACCTTCAAAACTATCATCTCGGTGGAAAGTGAGTTCTCACTTGTATAACTTCCCATTGGTTATATTAACATTCCCATGTTAATGTTGTAATCCAGAAATTCACTACATACTAGTTATATTTTATCAAGAACAAGTAGCTTTCTGAAAAGCCAGTTGATGAAAGAGAGCACTCTATGGTATTTTGTACTAATGTCTTATTTCAAAGCCTTTAACCAGCCCTTTGATTGTTGAGTGTTGCTGTCTCTAGTGCAATTTTCAAGGTTAAAATGAACCTGTTTAGTTTACGTGAACACTCAGTTTTCTTTTCAGAGTGGTTCTCTCGGGCTTGTGGTTTCTTTTGCCTTAGAGGTGGCAACATTTAAGTGGTTAGTGGAGGGAGTCCTGTAGGCTAGGATGTAGAATGAGAAAGCTGTAACCTAGGAGATTCCCACCATGCTTCGTGTTCCTCACACAGGGATATGTGTGAGTGTATGTGTGTATATGTGTATGTCTATATAATTATCTGTGCAGATTTACATTTGTCCATGGTTTCAGTAAACCTCATGGGTGTGTGATTACCTACCATATGGACAAACTCCATGATCCATGTATTGAGTTTTTCCCTTCCACTTTTTTTCTCTTTTCCTCTTCAGCTTGATGTTCTGTGGCTTGGGTTTTATATCACTTACTGTCGTGGTTTAACTCCAGCAGTAGCCAAGGTCCACACAGCCACTCACTCACTCCCCCACCAATGGGATGGGGGAGAGAATCAGAATGGGAAAAGCTAGAAAACTCGTGGATTGAGATAAAGACAGTTTAACAGGGAAAGCAAAAGCTGCACACACAAGCAAAGCAAAACAAGGAGTTAATTCACTGCTTCCCATGGGCAGGAGGTGTTGGGCACCTCCAGGAGAGCAGGGCCCCATCACACCTAACAGTTCCTTGGGAAGGCAAACACCATCACTCCAAACGTGTCCCCCTTCCATCTTTTTCCTCCCACTTTATATACTGACCATGATGGCATGGAATATCTCTTGGGTCACATGTCTGAGCTGTGTCTCCTCCCAACCTCCCCTGAACCCCCGACTTCCTCAGCAGCATGGCAGTACGAAAAGCAGAAGAGGCCTTGGCTCTGGTGCCAGCTCTGCTCAGCAACAACAAAAGCATCAACAGAAACATCTCTGTCTTATTATCACTGTGTTCAGCACAAACCCAAAACACAGCCCCATACTGGCCACTGTGAAGAACGTTAACTGCTCCAGCCCACACCACTACACTTAGAGCTGTACAGATCAAAAGTATTAATAACATAGTCTTTTGAGAACCTGTGGTTTTGAAATGCTGCTTATCCCCAGTCATGCCATAGGGAACCTCCTGCTCTTTTCTTGCAATGGCATTAAATTTATCTTTTGTCCTCCTAATTGCTATTAGGGAAGTAATCCAGAAATGTATTTAATTGTAAAGGGAATAGTCATGTTATTTGGTTGGTTTGAATTCCTAACCTTGAAAGCCAAAATAAATCAGTGCAGATAACTACAAATATATTTTAACCTTCTGGGTGGGTTGAGTGTTCTCTTAGTTACTTTATCTTCTCTTGAAACGTAAAATTTATAAGCTTCAACTTTTTGTTTTGTTTTAGACTTGTGCTCCTGCTCATCCAGCCTGGTTGTAACCCTTTGGCTGCTGATGGCTAACCTAATTCCCCTGCTGACAGGATTGTTCCTCTGTGCATAGAGCTAAGCTTGGGGCAGGAAGATGTCCCGAGGTGATATACTCCTCGCTGTGGAGCACGGAGCTTTCTGTCTCTGCAGGCAGCTGTCTTCTGCTGAGCCTCATCTCTCCTGGCAAGTATCAGTGCCGACAGTAGTCAGGGAGGTGCTGACAAAGGCAGTGAGTTTTGAGAGGAGGAAAATTCACCTTGTCATCTCAATAAGTGCCAGTATTTTCCTGAATTGCGACCTTTGAGGTTTTTGATGCAGTAACAGGACCCACTATGCCAACTGCGTTAGACTACCTGGCAACTCGGTTGAGATTTGAAAGGAGAACTCTGCTGTTACAGAACTGAGAGTTGGTTTTTTGTTATGTCTGTTGTGTGACTGGTAGCAAAGCACCCTCAACCTGGAAATATACCTCAGTGGTTTAGTCAAAAGCCATGTTAAAATCAGTTCTCATCACTGCTTATAACCCAGACTTAAACAGGTTGGGAATTTGTTTTGTCAATTCTTACAATTTATGGGAGAAGAAACAATTTAATGGGACAGACCAGTGGTTGGCAGTTGTCTCCACAACTGGATTCTGTAGCTTTGAGGCTTCTCAGAAGTCTTATTAGTTTGTGGTGAAGTGGCTGATTCTTGGGGTTCTCTTAAATCTTCCTAGATGTACAAAATGAAATTTCAGACTGCCAACCAAGACAACTGGTGGGAAATCCCATTCTCATTTAGCGTGTGCCAGTTCTACTGTGAAATTTAATACATCAAATGTTTGAATATTCTCAGAGTAATTTGATATAGGCAAATGCATTTCAGTACTGATACCCAGACTGTAAAATTGGGATAGGATTTACAACTATTTTTTATTTTGTTGGTTTGTTTCTTACATAATTAATAATGGCATTATTGTTTCTTAAATAGCATGAACATAACTGCAGATGTTCTCACCTTTTGTTGAAGGGCAAACCAGTAGTGATGGCAGCTATAATCTTACAGGACCACACTGATGTCTCTAGACCAAAAACTGTATTGAATGTGTAAGGAAAGTCTAAACTGTTTTCCTATTTTTTCCCTCCTCCCCTTTTTCTTGGTATGTAAATACCATGGATTATTTGAGTGTTTGTAACAAGTTGAGGATCAGACATTTTGAACCACATGAGGGCACACCTTGGTACAAAATTAATCACTTGATGGGCAAAATATGTAAAAGGAAGGAAATGAGCAGAATCTATCAAGCTAAGGACAGCTGCTCCACAGGACTCTTGTAAGGATGTTTTTATTTATTTATGGCTCTGTAATGTGTAACAAATAGTTCTGTTCAGACTAAAGAAACCCTTACGTGGTTTGATCCACTGTCGGTCCTTTTAGGATAGTTTTCATTGCTGGAACAGTGTTAAATTTGAGGAAGCAGACATGCCCAGTGCACTAAAAAAATACAAATCCAGGGAGAAAGATGATGTTACTCTGCTTCTTAAATGTGCTGTGCTGTTGGAATTGTCAGTGACCGGATCCTTTTCTAAAACGGAGGGTGGAGAGATGGAGTAAAATTTATGTAACTACAATGAAACTTTAATAGAATCATAGAAGTTAGGGGTTGGGATGGACCTTACAGATCAGCTAGTCCCAAACCCCTTGCCCTGGGCAGGGACACCTCCTCACTAGATCAGGTTGCTCAAGGCTCATCCGGCCTGGCCTTGAACACCACCAGGGTCAGGGCAGCCACCATGTCCCTGGGCAACCTGTGCCACTAATAGGACTTCTATCATGATTGTAAGAAATTCTTTGTGCCTACTGGACTTGTTTGGGTTTTTTTTCATTTAAAGAAACTCTTATGACACTGCTAAGGCAAGTAAGATGCAACCTAAAAGTGTCTGAAGGCATCACAGTTGAGAGTACCTTGTGCTGGGCTAGTTCCCCTTCATAACTGCAGGTTAAGTTTGCTTTGAATTTCACAGGGCCTAGGCTAGCCTTAAATAGGTGTTTCTGAGAAGCAATACAAGCCAGGACTCAAATGCTTTAAATTTGTAAACCTTCAAATTGTGAAACACTCAGATTGGTAAGTGAACACTGATTATTTTGATATATCCCCACAACAGTCGATGCAAATTGATTCCTTGAAAACATAAAGGTTTGAGAATACATCTTAGGTCCCCGAGGTTGATAGTGTATTTTTTTGTCTGTTGTGCAATAATACAGCTGAAATGGTATCACTCAACAACAATGCTTTTGATACTTGAAAAGAAATTATTGGTTATTTTTTCTTACTGTGAAATATTTGCACTGTCTGAACTTTCTGGTTAACTTTATAACTGTTAAACTTTATAACTGGTGTTAATTTATTGTGCTTGGTATTTGATATGCTGTTCTTCTGTCTGTGTAAGTGTGAGATTTGTCATATTTAATGGAATATTTTTATCTTCTAGACAGTTGTTTATCTTGAGGGCTTTTCTTCTTTTAATCTCTCTTCCTGAGGATTAACTGAAAGATGGCTTAGAAGGTTGATGCTTACCTACTTCTGAATTGTATGCATTAATTAAGGAAAGGGGCTGTAGTGCTTTGTACTGACATGGAAAAATCTGTGGGCCTGTTGGAGCTCTTGTGGTCAGGTTCACCAGTATCTGCTGAGTAGCTGCATCGGTGAATCCAGTGAAGTAAAACTGCTACTGCCTTAATAATCTGAGATTTCGGTAGTAATTTCTTTGGTGTTGCAGCCCTGTAGTTGGCTGTGAACTGCAGAACTGGCTGTGACTTCAGGGGGGTTGGGTTGCTTTAGTCAGAAAACTGCACCATGTTGTATGCCATCAGTGGGTTAGCAGCTGTTAGCAGCTGTAGCCTTGTGGGAACTGCCGAGAGATGTGTCAAGTTCAATTTAAAGTGACAATGAATTGGTGACTGTCACAAAGAGTATTTGAGTAAAGCTGACTACCTCAGTTCTGTTTGTCTTTGCATTAAGCTTGTGAGCCTGCTGTGAACTTCCAGCTCTTCAGAAGAACTAAGTAAAAACATGTCTCAGGTTTTTAAGAGTAACATTAATACAGTAGGAAGCATAAGCCATTTGTGGGTGTAGAACACAACTAAAATTGTAGCTTAGACCGATCAGTTCTGTAGCCTTAAGTGTGGTTTCTGCTGTAAAAGTCAGAATTGCTTTTAAATAAATACAAAGTTTGCAGGCAGCTATGTTAGGTGTCCTGACTGCATGTGGCAAGTCCATCCTATTGCATCTCTTACATGTGAAATACAGCTCAATTCAGCCTTTGTGCTTTCACCAGAGGAATGGGAGGAGCCCTGGAAGTTGTGCTAAGAGATACGTGAGTTGGCTGGTCTGCAGCAGGAACATTTTCAGTATATAATGTCCACAGTTTTAATTTTTGAAAAGCATTCCATGTTTGCTTAGGGAAGTGAATTAGCCTTGCAGTCTTTTTTGACCTCAGTAGTTCAAAGCATTTCAATTAGAAGTCAAGGCAAGTCATAGTTTAGGGACACATTTTTCTAGTGCTTCAGTAAGAAGGAGGAAGGACAGCTTTTGGCTGGAGGATGCAGCAAGTAAAATCGTGTTGAAAAGCAGCAATTCACTCCTCCTGGAATGAGCTGAGGTCTTGGGAGACTGTCATGGCCTTGGATGTAGGTTAGTTACTGAAGGAGAATTGTGTCCCCCATTACCTGTCATTCTTTCTGCTGAGCACTATGAATTGGGAAGGCTCTGCCACTTGGAGCAGACATACCCACAGTCCCTGACGAGCACCAGTTCGTGTTTAAATCTTCCTGTCCTGCAAATCTTTGTTTGAATAAATTCCAGTAGAGAAGGAGGTGTGTGTCCTTCCTTCCCCACATTTCTGAGGAGTGACTTTCAGCCAGCTGAGCAGCTTAAGGTCTTTTCCCTGCAAGACTGAACCCCTGGTTTCTGCTTGTCTGGATGTGTGGGTGCTTGCACGTGTGTGTCTCTCTTCAGGATCTGGGGCTATTTGTGTGCTGGATAATGTGATCTTACCAGACTTCCAAAGTGCAAATGTTGCCTTTTTAATGTGAAGCTTACCTTGGAGATAAAACAACTGTTTTGAGAGAACTGACTGACCTTGAACATGTGTTTCTGATTTTGGTACAGAATGTAAATACAGAAACAAACTATTTTACACAGATTTTGGCTGGATTTTGAGATATAAGGGCTAATTTGTGTTATTTATGGAGTAAAAAAATGTCCTTATTTTACTGTTTAAAAGAGGTATGTCATAAAAAAAGAAGAAGAAACTGTTCATCAATAAAATGTCTGTAGAAAATTGATTCTTCTTGTCCTTTTCTTTGAGAGCTGATGACGATTAACTGCAAGAATAAGCACAATAAAGGATCACCATTACAACAGTCATTTATTCGCAGGAGTGTTGAAAAATGAAATTACATCAAGTCTGCATATTGATCACTTTATTAAACTGTTATTTGATACACTTTGAATGTAAAATGTGCACATTATTAGCTCATACATGACTTATCAGAAATTCAGCCTGATGGTGAGGTGAGGAGGCTCCTGAATTCTCTGTCCTATCCTCTTGTATTGGATACTATAAAATTGTGCGATATTTTTCCACTTGAAACTGAAGATCATAAATTCCCTGTTTTGTGTAAAGGATTTGGCCATGTCATTCGCATTTCAGTGGAAGGAATGTTGCCCTGTGGAGCCCCAAGCCACTGGCTGTGACTGGAGTCTGAGCAGGAAGGGCTGAGCTACCTTTGCTGCTGTTCAGCAGTATCAGGAGTGCTGCAGCCACTGGTTTTGGTACCCAAGTTAGCTTTGCTAGCTGTGAGACTGAGATTTCCACAACATATTCATAATTACAGTACATTCATATATATATATTACTCTGGTAAATGTGAAAGGCCTAACATTCCACTAAAATGAGTCAAAATTATTTTATAATCTCTTTTATTTTTTTTCCCTCTAAGCAATACGTCAGCGAATACATAGATCAAAAAAAATCCACTTGCCTTCCTCTCTGCTATTTTGGAAAATCGGATAAAGCACAGCAAAAGTAG